GACAAGAAACTCTTTTTTTTTTTTTTTTGAGAGTATTTTTTTTTTTTGCTATAGGGCGTGTGCGCTAACCAGAAAGACAGGGGGAGACAGAGAGAGACAGAAAGTGAGAAATCACCCCCCAGGGGGATGGCCACACCACAATCCCTTCTCCATTCTTCTCTCAGGATCTTGGGCATGTACGTACACGCGCCCAGCGTGAGTTTAAGCCACCAGTTCCAGACTCTCAAATACATGGGAGTCCAGTGACATAGCCATTACGCCAACTGCTGGTCCCAACTCTATTTTTTTTAAGAACTATTTTATTTAACTTATATTTATTTATTTTAATTTGACCAGTGAGGGACAGAGCAAAAGCCAGAGAGAAACAGAGAGTGAGAAAGCAAGACACCAGGTCTCAGACTTGAACTGCAGTTGGCCATGTGGGTGTCTAGCACCCTTAAAAACCATGCCACCTGCTGGCTCTGTCCCAAGCACTATTACAGAAGGCCATGGATGGGCCATTCGGTGGCATGGTGGCTAAAGCAGTTGGATCCCACATGGCTGGCTGCATGGTTTGAGTCCTGGACCTGATGTCTTGAAAATCATGCCAGGTGCATGTACATGCATGCCCAAAATTTCAAGAGGAGGGACCAGCAATTGGTGTAATAGCTATGTCACTGGACTCCCATGTAGTCGACTGAGGTTTGAGTCCCAGATCCAGTGGCTTAAACTCACGCAGGGCGCATGTGCGTGTGTGCCCAAGATCCCAAGAGGAGAATGGAAGAGAAGGGATTGTGGTGTGGCCATTCCCCTTGGTGGGTCATTTCTCACTTTCTGTCTCTCTGTCTCTGTCTTTCTAGTGAAAACCTCTCAAAAAAAGAATCTCAAGAGGAGAATGGAGGAGAAGGGATTCTGGTGTGGCCATCCATCCTGGGGTGTGATTTCTCATCTCTACCACCGTGCCCCCCACCACCACCCTCCGGCTGTCTCTCTGGCCAGCACACTGTGCCCTATAGCAAAAATAAATAAATAAATAAATTAATTAATTAAAAAAAGAAGAAGAAAAAGCCTCTAGGTTTGCACACGATTATACTGACTACTGAAATTGAGGTGGTTAGAGGCGATAAGAAGCACTTAGCCAGGAGGGAAGGTGGTGAACCACAGTCATTCCCACTTTCTCCTTCTCCTCAGGGGCTTCCCCGCTGTTCCCACAGCAGGGCACACAAAGAACACCGAAGTATTCAAGTATTTGTATAACATCTGAGTAGTCTGGAAGGGATTAGGGACATCCGGGAGACTGCGTGAGGTTTTCATAGCACATTCTTCATAATATGTATTAGGATTAGAGGCTACGATATAAAGTATTAGAGACAACATTGAGGATCAATTTCGTCTAAAACTTCCAAATAAAATATTTTCAAAATCTTAAATGTGAAATGTGAGCTTGCTCTGTAAAAATCATTTTTACAACTGGTTTCGTGTATGAAATGGCTACACACATTTCTTGCTCAAAGAAAAAACAGTTTGTAATGGTAGTCTCTTCAAAAAAATTTCGTTTGAGTTAATGATAGAGCGTATTGCACGTGCATGTGAGAGTGGGAGAGAGAGGAGCACCTGCACCGGGCGGCCCCGGCCCACCAGCTCCTCTGCACCTGCACACGTGCCATTACGTGTCAGGGTGACCTGGCGGGGGATTCCAACCGCAGTCCTACATGGGAACAGCTTCTCCTGGGCAGCTCATTAGTGCCGTGTCCCCTTGATTTTTTTTTTTTTAAGGTTTTTGCCATAGGGTCCATGCACTCACCAGAGAGCAACAGAGAGAGACAGTGAGAGGGAGAGTGAGAGATCACCGCCCAGGGGTGGCATAGTGGTTAAGGTGATGGATCCCACATGGCTTACTCCTCAGTTCAAGTCTTGGACGACTTGAGAAATACATTGGGTGTGTGTGCATGAATGCCCAAAATCCCGAGAGGAGAATGGAGGAGGGGATTGTGGCATGGCCATCCCCCAGGGGGTGATTTCTCACTTTCCTTCTCTGTGTCTCTGTCTCTCTCAAGTGATTGCACATGCCCTAGGGCATATACCAAAAGAAAAAGAGAGAAACTTTGTTCACATTAGCAGATGACATAAAGTTTAAACGCTTTATTTATTTTTTTAAAGAATTTTTTATTTATCTTTATTATTTTAATTTGACCAGAGAGGGGGTCAGAGTGAGAGAGCGAAAGACAGAGAAAGTGAGAAAGCAAGCCACCAGTGCTGGGACTCAAACCACTGTTGACCATGTGGGAGTCCAGCACCCTTAGCCACTGCACCACCTGCTGGCCCCCAAACTACTTTAAAAATTT